AAAGCGGCAGCTCTCAAATGAAGAGTTATAAAATTTTAATGAAATTTGAAACCTGTTCATAAGCTTCAGATACATTATTCAGTGTTTCCTCGATGAGATTCATTTTACTATCCATTTGAGTAATTTCATCTAGCCCCGCTACTCGTCGAATTAGCTGATCGATGGATTGTCGCAATTCGGCGTATTCAATACTGCCTGCTTGAGAATGTACAAAACGTGATAAAGCACCAACTTGAACTTTGAGCAAATTCATAAACTGCTCAACGACCTGTTTATACCTGAAAATTACGATCCAATCGGATAACATTAATCTCATATTACCATATTCAACATTAAGCATATTACCAATAGGTACCGGAATGTTCCCAGGCCTGAAATTTCCTTTACCTAACTTAATAATAGTATTTAGAATGTTAGTCCTGTAATTCCTTACTAATCATATGTATGTCGTTTGTTAAATTTTTACCTAATTTCACATTGTTGATCAATTTCTCGGGTCGGTGTTGCAAGTTGCTTTCGTAACGTTTCCATTTCCTCACGTTTACGGATTACGTCTTCTTCAGCAGCTGTAAGACTACGTCGTAACTGCGAAAGACCTTGCGCCTGGAAAAACAAAAAATAAAAAGGGATATTTTGCGGATTCAGGATATTTCAAAATTCTCTTTAAAATTGCTAAAAGATATTTTCTTCAAAAATCCGGAACTTACATCGCTACTCAAAAAAAGACATCGTAAACGCTCATTTTCGCTTCTTGTTTCACCAAGTCTTGATGTCGTATCCTGTAGCTGATCACGGAGATTTTCCACCTGTTTATATTAGTTACGTATTTTATTTCATTTCGTTGTTGTACAAGCCAAGTGTTATGTTCATCTTTATGTATTAATAATTTTCTTTCTAATTAATTGAGTTCAGAATTGGAATTTGTAAAATATAGCTAAACATAACAAGTAATTATTCACAAACATAATAATTATTAGTAATTAAACATAGTAATGTTTAATTACCATCTTTAATTACTTATTGAATTAAATTCAGTTTTATTAAGTTAAATTCAAATAGAACAAATATGAGGAGAAGAATTAATTTAAAAATGAAAATAGAAGTGAAGCGAGTGAAATAAAATTATTAAGCAATGCGAATAAATTTACAATTATTAAAATTTTTTTATTAATAAACAGAAAGATGATGCTATCATTTTGTCATGTATTCAGGCTAGAAAATGATGATTGGATTATAACAAAGCATACTGAGATATCTTAAAAAGTGTTTTGTGTAAAGTTAAAAAAAAAAAATAGAGCCATATGTAAGCCAATTGTGATAAAATTAACAATGAATGATATCAACTAGCAACCGATATAAGGAAATAAAGATCTTAGAAATTATTACGCATTTTCAGAACATTAACTATGACCCTGTTTTGAAAGATGAACTTATGACCTCCTACAGAACGCAATACTCGGGAATCGTGCTACAGTTAAATGAAAGAATGATCGAACATTTTGTGATCTCATTTTGAAATGAAAGAATAACAACATTTACAACTATAAATTTTCCATGTGGAACATTTTTTCCGCTTTTACATTTTGCATTTTGTAGCTCAGTGTTATCAGAATTTTTATCAATTGCTGATGTTCTTATTAATGAATTAGATTAGATTTCATTGAAAGCAGAATGGTGAAAAATTTAGGACAATTTGAAGGTGTATTTATCATTGATAGAATGCAAGGTTACATGCTGAAGTACTTTTTTTTTCTTTTTATATTCCCAAATTCGTATTGATGTAATCTTATTTCTTTTAATTCGAAAATTTCCACTTAATTTATTAATAAAGTTAAGCTAGTACGTATAAACAAAGATATT